TATATAAGTATATAATATATATATATATAAGTATATATATGTATATATATATATATATATATATATAGCCTATGGAATAGTGCTAATAAAAGCCTCCTTCACTGCTTCCATCACTGCTTATCGAATACGAAGCATGAATAGGTCGCAACATTATTGGTCGTTTGTTATTCAAATTTATTTGCTGTACACAAACTACAATATCGGAACTGCATATTGAGCGTCGCCGAGATTTAGTCCGAATATATTTTATCAACAACACTACAGTGACGAAAACACCACGCACTGTGACGCCTACAAACTGTTTTAATGAGCATACGAGAGGCTTGACTGATAAAAATAGTTCAAATTGAATAGCCCTAAACTCCCAACATCATGAGTTTATGAATAACGAACTATGATGTACTGTCTGTGTTATGAATCTGCAGATTATAATCTGGGGATTCTAATTTTATTCAACATCGTTTTACCGCATGATAAAGCATCTCATCTAAGCTAAACAGTAAACTTAGAACTGGAAATCGTATTGGTTATAAATGTCTGAGGGGGCGGCATCCTTCTCACAGTATGACTGAGTGCATTTGTTCAATTCACCACACTTACCAGACCATTCGCAGCACTCTTTGTCCTCATGGATAGAACCCTGAAGAGCATCGGGGACACGTACACGCTTCTCGGCGCAAGTGATCTTGCAATCGTAACTGGCGTTGCCAGAGCTACTAGAACTACCAGATTTATCCGTGCTACCAGACACGCCGGACATAGATTTGTCAGACTTCTCAGACATATCAGACTTCTCAGACATATAAGATTTCTCAGACATATCAGACATATCAGACATATTAGATTTCTTTGACATGTCAGACTTCTCTGACATGTCAGATTTCACAAACATGTCAGACTTCTCAGTCGTGTCGTACTTCTCAGACATGTCAGACTTCTCAGACTTCTCAGACATATCAGACATATCAGACTTCTCAGAGTCGCCAGACATGCCAGAGGTACCAGAACTACCGCGGCCATGGCGGCCAGAGTGGCCGGATAGACCACAAAAGCTCTCCGTGCATTTGTATAGATCTCCACAGTTACCTGAATACTTGCAGCAGACCTTGTGTTCGTCGTATGACTTTCCAGTGAATCCTTTAGCGGCACATGTGATCTGTTGATCGTAAGACTTGGCGCTGACTGCAACAGCAACGGCTGCGATGGTGATGATAGTAGAAATCTTCATGTTGTCTATTTCTGTATTCTTGTATTGGAACTGATGAACAATAATCAATTCTATTGCCTTTTATACTGCTGTATGTCGTCTGATCTCATCAATATCCATTACCCTTTGTTCACTAAGCTCAGGGCCTTGGGCCCTCAGCTCAGTCTCCGATTTTAGAACAACAACTAGCATATTGTAGCAATTCTTCTGGAAAATCAAATCAAAGTCAGGACCACAGATAACTAAAGGACATCATGAAAGAATGAGTATGAGCCTTCGAGGTCGATTGGCGGTTCGTATTTTCATACTATCTCTCCCTCTCTCCGTGTAAGGGAGAGGACGACGTATTCAGTTACCCGTTACACGTAAAAATGAGTATGATTGAACAACAAGGGTTGTTAAAAATTGGAACCTGTTATATCACATATCAGCGTTAAGGTGACTGTGTCCATGCCGGGCGTTATTGGGGTGCCACCGGCCCAAATGATCAGTTGGGTATTTCTCCGATTGTTTTTCAAGAGTGGCATGGTGATTGTTTCGCAATATGTAAGCGAATAATACTGAAGCTATTTAAATAAATAAAAAGTACTTTCATTAGAATAATCAATATCCGAACGGACACAAAGTTGAACTTTGAAGTTTAATTGGTGGAGTAAAGTTCATGGTAAGTATTGTTCTGACATTTTTAGCAAGGATACATATTTATGGAAATGCTTGCCTGGCTTTATGCCTTATTGGCCATGTGCCGATGACCGATTGGCCTTTATGGGTAAATAATGTATGCTTTGACACTCAAGATTTTACTATTTTTATTACAGCAAAACTATACATACGTTTATAATATTCTTGATATTTAACCCGAAGGGCCTAAACAGCCAAATAATGTAAAAAAAAATTTAAAAAATATGTATGAACATTTAAAAAAAATACTTAATATGAGCATAATGAGAATCAAAGATGTTTTGACGAATCAAAATTTAGAAGTACAGCATGTTGATTGGACACAGACAGCTCAAAATAGTTGATCGTTGCGGAAAAGACATTCACACACACAAAGTTCCAAAGAGTCGAGACCTCAAAGAGTCAAAGACTCAGAGGCTCAGGCTACTCACGGGGTACCAATTCAAACAATGAGTAATGAATTTTAATGATGAAGTTTACAGATGGTCACAGACTCACAATTTTCAACAACAACAACTTTTACAACGACGGCCAAAAAATTGCTCTTGTGCAAGTTGCATTGTAGTGTTGTTTTGTTCAATTTAGGAGGCTATGGTTGTTTTTTGTTTTTGTTTTTTTTAAGTACAAAATGGTAATTTTTTTTAAATATTATTTTACAAGAGAGAGAGAGTGAATCCAAATTCAACTTGTTCAAGTAATGTAAACTACAAATACATAGCGGTAATGGGCTAAATAGGTCTGAGTATACTACATAGATGACGCAAGGAGCCACTGTCGTTCTGTAATGCATTTGGCTCTAGGTTCCAAAGTTGAAATGGCGGAAAACCAGGGGCGAGCACTACTGAGCCCACAGGCACGTGGATATACTTGGGTAGCTGCACCACTATAGCGTGAAGAGAGCGGCCTTAAGGAGCGAAAGGCACCGAGCTGTGCATGTACAGGGTGAGCTGAGGGTGAGATTTCTTGATGGACCCTTTTTCCCTTACTTTCACTCAATACACACACAAATACGCACTGTTGTTCTGACAGTCACACACGCGCACACATAAACACACTCACCCACGCCTCCCCACCTTTTTTTATGAAAACAACTTTTCTTTTCAGCCGTCAATAACGGACCTACAAAAGTTTGCTCTATTTTTTGAAACAAAATTCTATTCAGGATCCCTCGGGGGCCTCTTTGGAGCCTACAAATGGGGGGGAAAGTGTTCCGGACAGAAAAGCGTTCCGGACAGATTCTTTTTTTTAGTGTGCTATAATTATTATATGTATATAAAAAAACATCGAAAAAGTGATGACGCCAAAAATATATAGTAGTATATAGTAAAGAACGTAAAGTAAGAACAACACTATAGTTAGTAGTTAGTTAGTTAGTTAGTTAGTTACGTTTACGTTTACTTTAACTTTAACTTTAACTT